CCGCCGCTTCCCACGGCCCCGCCCATCCGCTCCGGGCTCGCGGCTCCGGCTGGGCTTGGCGGTATTGGGAGCGCGCAGGCGCGGCTGGAGATTTTTCGGAGCAGGGAGTAGCGGCGCGCGGGACGCCTAGCGAGTGAGGTGGCCCTGTGGGGCTCGCGGCTGAGGAACGAGGTTCGGGCTGAGCTTCTTGGGAGGGTTTGGGATGGGCGCGGGTGACCGTTCCGGGAGCCTTGGGTACCGTGAGGAGAGATCAGCCACACGGGAGGCTGCAGGCTTGGCCGCGCCGCCTGAGGGTGTCAGCGGCCCCGGCCTCGTGGGAAGCGGAGTGCGCGGTGGCGGGAGCGGGTGAGGCTACGTGTGAGCAGCAAAATTGAAGGAAAGGGCTCCGGAGGCTGAAGTGCGTCCTGAGGCTTGGCAGAACCCCGAGGCTTGTTAAGGCGCCCTGGAGAGTGTCCCAGCTTCAAGTTCAGTACCCCCCGCTCGGTGCCCCTGAGCCGGGTCCCAGGCCATCCCTTCCCCCGCGCTGCGAGTGCAGAGTTGCCAGGAACGTTCCTCGTCACGCCGGTGAGGATTTAGGGAACATGGGCTGTCGCCCCAGGCCAGTGCCAAGGAAGGTGTTGCTTTCCTGTGACTTTCCTCCTCCTGGTCCCAGGGAATGTGTCCGTCTTCTGGTCTATTGTGCTCATGGACATTTTAACAAAGGCAATGACTGTTTTCTAAGCTGTGGCGAGTGACAGCGGGGGCGGGGTAGAACGAGGTCGTGGTGTGGCCCCGGGCAGTGGGAAAACGGGGTGGGTGTGGGGCAGGCATGGTGGAAGTGGAAGGAAGGAAAAGACCTTCTTGCCTCAGTTTTTTTTTTTTCTTTTCTTCCTGGTCCGCTGATGATGTTCAGTGGTAGGAACAGCCTTGAGAGGGAGATATGATTGGGAATTTGTGTGTTCAGACTCTGGCTGCAGCCGTAGGTTTTGTAATTGGGCTGTTGATGTATTCTTGAAGTGTCCCTTCAGGATAAATGTGAGGCTAATGGCATTTAAGAGGAAATAATTGAACGGAAGGGTGAAGAGGTGGTTTCAAAACTTAGAGCTAAATTAATGTTTTGTGATAGACATAGTATAAATAAAGCCAGACCTTGAAGGATGCGAAGGTGCTCAAGTCAGGGTAAGTGAAAAGTTGATTGAGGGTGTGTATGTGTGTGTGTGTGCTGCCAAGTTTTTGGGCAGACTCACTTTAGAGCTCTTAAAAATGATACTGGGAATATAAAACGTTAGGGCAAATATTGTAATATTTGATAAGGCTCCATGGTTTTCATTTTCAAACTTAGGATCTTTATGAAAAATAATACATGTGTTCTCAAGAATGGATGTTGATTTTTTACTCATTTGTTTAACTTAATACAACAAAAACTGAACTTCCTCCTCCTCCACCCCTTTCCCTTGATTGTGAATTCTTTTATAAACATTTACTTTCAGATCTGAAGTGTATTTAAAGGCACAATTCCACCCAATCCGAGCATGAAGTGAACAGGTTTCTGTGCCTGAAAAGCAGAGAACCTATCTTGGCTGTTAGTAACTTCTATT